AAGCACCTGATGCAATTCTTGCTACTATAATTGGTTGGAATTGCTGTTTAAGTTCATCTTTAACATTTGCGAAAACTGGATCGAATAAAGCAACTTTAAAGAATTTCTTAGCTGAAATTTCAGGTCTAATATTTGCATATTGACCATCAAACTGGTTAGAATATCGTGGTAATCCATCCGGTCCCTCTTCAATAGCATTTAATTCTTCATTGAAATAAGAATATGGATTACGACGGTATGAATTAATTGGACCATTTTCACCTTCTCCAATGTATTGTTTAACAGCTTTTCCATTTTCATCAAATTGCATAGGATAACGTTCATTATATACTTTACGTTTAGGATAATCAGACATAGTTAATTTATAACCATTTATGACTTTAATATTACCTTGACCATCAGTAACGAAAACTTCATTTATACCATCAGGTTTTCCATTTGGACCCGTAATGTCTGCTTCGTGTGCTTCCCAATTTGGACCATGACGTTTGGCATATGCTTGAGCTTCTGGTAATGTTAAAACGTTTCTCATTTGTTTAACATCTTTTTGAAGACCAGCAACAATATGAACTAATTCTTTCATTCCATCAGGAACTTTCATAGTTCTATTATATGCACCCTTTTTGTTTGTCCCTTGTTTTAATGGAACCTGTAGAAGATTTGCTATTTCTGTCATGTTTAATTATAAATAAAAAATAAAAATTAATTATAAAAAGTTAATCAAATTTAACACTTCCTTTATTTAAATCAACTATTATTTTTCCATGTTCACCTAATTGCTGATATTGTGTGTAAAGTTCATTAATGCTCATTGGTAAATTCACTTGATAAAGCATAACGTTCAACTGTTGACGACTAAACCCACTGAAAATGAAAAGTGTTGATAGATTTGATTTAATGTTTGTGCTTAATGCTTTGAAATATTGAACAGCCATGAAGAATGAACACTGAATGTGTCGACATTGAGTTAATAACTGATTAAAATATGATTTCTCATTTGTTATTAGTTTTGATTTCACCGCATCATCTAGAAAAATGAGTGAATGCAAAAATTCTCTATCAAAATTTGAAATAGAAAGTGTTTCAAATAATTCATCCCGTTGTTTATCAATAATTTTATCCTCTAATCCTTGCTTCTTGATTGTATTATATAATTCTTTATACATTAAAAAGTTTTTTAAATAATCTTCTGCTTCTTCTTGTGATAAATAAATAATTGGAATTTTGATTAAATGCTTTAAAGATTCAAATGTATCATCTGAAGGTGAACCTGAACGGTTGATATAAATTAACACGTGAGAATAGGGGGAAGTGTTAGCAATAATGATAATTTGTTTTAATATCGTTAATGTTTTACCTTTATTTTGTTTACCAATTGCTGCAGTGATTGAATTTAAGTAACATTCAGAATATGGAATTTTCATTAATTTTTCCTTAGATAGAGCATTTCTATTATCACTCAATGCTTCATTAATCATATCATCTACGTATGTATTATATACTCCCGCTAATTCTTCATAAGGGGTGGATGAATTTAAATCCATTTAATCAAAAATAAATTTATAATTTTAAACATTTCTATTCATCAATATTTCATCATATGAACTTCTATACTGTGGTGGTGTACCTGTTGGATGATATTTCAAACCTTCATCCGGTGTCCATGTCCAATATGTAGTCCTAGTAAACCAAACCTGAGGAGGATTTGTCACCTTTGAACAGTAAGTGTCATTTACACCCTGAATGATTGGATAAGCTTTCACTTGTACTGTAACTTGTGAGTTGAAAGTTTCTAATCCATCAAAGAATATACCCGCTCCATCACGTTGAACTGGAATAGTGCATAAGAATGAAGTTTGGTCTTTCCATGTTCTAGCTAATGGCGTGCCATTATCATCATTCAGTGGTCTAGTTAATGAGTCCTCGTATTCTTCTGTGCATTCATTCACTCCATCTAAATCAGAAGCTTGAAGCATACGTGTAAAGAATATGTCACCCACTGTGGTCATCGCTTGATCGGGGAAGTTTCTGGAATCTATAGTGACCTGAAGACCTCGAAGCATTGGATTTTCTAAAACTGTTCTTTGCATTGCATTCTTCGGAAATGTTAACACAACATCTGTAACATTATGAAGAGCGTATGAGAAATCTGAGCTAATACCTTCAGGAGTGATGCAACCTCCATTTAGTGAACGAACGTCAATATGTTGAGCTGGAATCATGAATGGATCTTCCTTACTGAATAAACGTGGTATTGCTTTAACTGATTCTTCAATTAAACCGTATCCTGGTGTAATGCATTTATCCTCTAAAACTTCCATCTTTGTGCATGAAATAATAACGTCATCAACTGTTGCGTCAGCAGATGTAGCGGCTAAGCTTGTAATTAATTTGGCAGGAAGTCCGATTTGTTGGAATTTGCGATCATATTTATAAACATGATTCATAATCTTTTCATAATTTTCATCAGTTATCTTTTCATAAACGTAATTTTGTAAATCAGCAACTCTTAACGGGTCAACCTGACAAAATACTAAAGTATCCCTGAAAACATAATATTTAAGAATGATTCACCAAATGATTTAGGATAATCATCGAACGCCTGAAATGCTAACAAATCATTTACCGGAATAATCATATCAAAAGTGACATCAACTTCTTCATTTGCTTCTTGAAAACTTCTGAAGGGTCAATATATTTACCACATACTGAGTTATCATATTTTTGAACATTATTATATAACGAATGAACAAACTTTTTAACTTTCCTTTCTGATTTTGGTTTATATGTTGCAAATGCGAAAGATTCACGGGCGCAATCCATCTGAAGATAACCGGCATCACCTCTTTCGGTTTCTACTTCTAATTGTTTAAAGCTTTGATTTGATGATTTGTAACCAACGAATAAACGCATGCATTTAAAAGCGGCATCACATGTGAAAGCTTTATTTGAAACTAGAGTTGCTTTAACTTTGCGTTTAATATATGTGTCACCTAATTGGTTCACATCATGAGCCGGATTTGTAATTCTTAAATGAGTTTGTTTATCATCAAAATATGGAGCATCAGAGTCATAGCATGAACTTTCAAGTTCTCTATAATATCTTCTACCGTCATTCTTTGCGAATATTTCATTTATCTTTTCGAATGAATGAAACACATTTCCATTAATCGGTTTAGTGTTTGGCACTAAATAGTTAGTCGTCATTTATTATAAATAAAAAATCAAAATTAAAAGATGAAAATGAATTTTTAATTTTAATGAAATAATCAACTATGGCTGCAGGATTCTTAAAAAATTGGGATAAAGTAAAAAGAGGAGCGCATAAAGTTTGGGAAACAATGAAGAAAGGAGCAAATTGGATATTTAAGAATAAAGAAGCAATTAGTGACGTTGCTGAATCAATAACACCAAAAGCTGCCCCAATAAGAGAAATATTAAATAAAGGAGAAAAAGTTTATCAAAGACTTCAACCGATACTAAGATAAAAATAATTTATTTTTCCACTATCTACCTCCTATTTTATTAAGTATTCCTTCAGCATTCCACCAATTGCGTTACCTGCTTGTGCTCCCATCGCTGGATTACCTGCTTTAGTACCTAATACTCCACCTATGATAGTTCCTGCCGTTTTCGCTACTGGTGCCAAAAAGTTTGCAACGGTTTAATAATATTTTTATGAACCCAACCCGCAGCTTTCTTAATTCCATCCCATAATTTTTTAAAGAATCCTGCCGCCATTTCTGATTTAATATTAATTAAAAAATATATTTCATCACTTATATTCTAATTTTTATTTAATGATAAATGAAACCGATTTTAAAAATAAATGAAACAGAGGAGGAAGAAATAAATGAAAATGTTCAACAAAAAATAAACGTTGTTAAACCAATTACTGAAATAAAAATTTTTTCATCTGTTGAAGAATTTAATGACTATTATGCTAACAATAAAAAATTATTTGAAGAATTGACAACGTGTAAATTGAATAAAATGTTTAAAGTTAATGGATTCAAAATTTCAAAAATAAAAGGAGTGGTTAGTTTGAAATCTATTCCTCAATCAAGAATCACCTCATTAATGAAAATAGATGATTTAACAAAAAGAATAGAAGAGATTGAAGAAAGAGTAAATCAAATAATTGATTTCATAAATTCAAATAATCATTAGTTTCTTAAAGTTCAATGTTGAACTCATCAAATTCTTCTTCATCATTACCATTACTCTTTCAACTCTATCTTTTGATAGTCTTGCGTTTAATTTTTCGTGAGACATGAATTTTTAAAGTTTATTTTTCATTCATGAAAATAATTATATCTGATTTCTTTTACTCTCTCGTACATACTAGATTTAAAGAATTCGGAACTTTTACCATAATCTCCTAAATGTTTTCTTATCCCTAATGTCATCAATGATTTCCATTTCATTATTTTCAATTTCTTCTTCTCGTTTATGAGGTCTTTGATTATGACTCCATTGATTCCATGAAATTAAATATTCTTTATCATTATATTTATATCTCATTAGCTTATTTTGGCTTTCATATTCATTTAATAATTCACAGTCTTCCTTTTTAAATTGAAGTTTAACCCATTCAGGATTTAAACAATGTTTAATTAATCGCGGAATATCTGACATCATCTATATATAGCTTCTTTTATAAAAGATAAAAAAATAAATTATTTTAAAATGTGTTTAGTATATAATATTTATTACTAATTTATTTAATAATGTCGCACTTTCTTACAAATTCATGACTTTTAAAAAACGTAAGAAAAAATTTTTATATCATCTATGTATAGAAGATGCATTAAAATATACCTTCATCTATATATAGACGTAACAAAAAAAGTCACACACCCCGTCCTATCCTACTACTATCATTACAAGTTTGGTGCATACTAGGAAAAATCAATTTAGCTACCTAAATAACTATTTTAAACACTTCTTTTGTTATTTTGCTGGTAAAAAGCAAAATATATAACTTTTAAAAATTTTGCATGTCTGATCAAGACATTCACCCAAATAAATATGGCCAATTACGAGGTATCTACAAAAACCACATCGATTTATATAATGCGTTGTATCGGCTAAAAACGGAGAAAGATCAAGATTGTTTCAAGTTTTTAAGAACGAAATTTCAATCAGAAATAACTCCAGAATGTCTAAAATTATCATTTTTAAGCGGAAATCAAGAGATCATGAGCGAATGCTTGAAATATCAAAAACCAAATTATAAATGCATGGAGTATGCAATCATCTCACATAACATTGATTTTGTAACATTCTTGATGAACGAGTACGATTTAAGTATCAATTTAGGATATTGTGGAGAATATAAAAATCTTGAATCATTTTTAGTTTATTTCGATCAAACTAATGATGTTAACATATGCTTGGATTATTTACCCATGTTTAATATTCCATCCCTTTGCGAATATTTCCTTTTACATGGTGCAAATATCAATGAAAGAAATTATTACTTTAAATCTGCTCTTCTTACAGCAGCAATTAATAATGTTAATAAAGATGTGATTGAACTTCTTGTTTCACATGGTGCAGATGTCAATGAAACAGCTGACCATAGAAGAACCGCTCTTCATCATGCAATAATGCATAATAAAGAAACAACAGAATTTCTTCTTTCACATGGTGCAGATGCCAGTCAAAAAGATATACATAAGCAAACCGCTCTTTATTATGCAGCATCTATAAATAACGTTGAATTAATTGAAATTCTTCTTTCACATGGTGCAAATATCAATGAAAAAGATGAAGATGAGCAAACCGCTCTTCATTTGGCAGCAATGAAGAATAGTAAAGAAATAACTCAACTTCTTCTTTCACATGGTGCAGATATCAATGAAAAAGATATATATGGGGGTACCGCTCTTCATTTTGCAGCATCTAACAATAATATTGAATCAATTGAAATTCTTCTTTCACATGGTGCAAATATCAATGAAAAAAATGAAGCTAGTATAACCGCTCTTCATTTTGCAGCATGGCATAATTGTAAAGAAACTGCGGAACTTCTTCTTTCACATGGTGCAAATATCAATGAACAAGATTTTGCTGGGAGAACCGCTCTTCATTTTGCAGTATATAATAATAGTAAAGAAATTGCGGAACTTCTTTTTTCACATGGTGCAAATATCAATGAACAAGATAACGATGGAAATACCGCTCTTCATTTGGCAGCAAAATATAATAGTGAAGAAACTGCGGAACTTCTTCTTTCATATGGCGGAAAACAATAATAATCAACTGCAAGATACCTCTTTTCTTTTTCATTTTTTATTATCTTCAAAGTCGAATTTTATCAGAAATAAAAAATAATTTAGCATTTTATTCAAGTGATTTTTTAGGCACTTCATCGCAATTTTTAATGAATTTCCCGTACTTTGATTTTGTGGCTCATTTATCGCCAAACATAAATCTACGTTTTGCTTACTTCGCAGCGGTCATTTTCAATATAAATTTTCAGCTTATATCGGCGCGCAGCGAAGCTGCGCGCCTATAGAACGCGCAATATTATATACGTGACTTGTTAATTTTGACAATTGGATGTACTTTCATTTAGAATTGGATGTGATAATTAAAGAGAATAAAACAACGAATATCTTTCTATTCTCCATGGTCAAACTATTAATTGATTATTGCTCAAAATTCAATTTTTTCTCGGAAATTTTCAACGGAAAGATTAAATGGAAGAAGGATATCTCAATGACAGATATAAATCATTGCAGCACTCCGTCGTATTATCTTTTGATGGGATGTTGAGTGATGGTTTAGCTAAACAGTTACAGAAACATCCAACTTCTTATAATTTTGCTGCAAGAAGATTAACTGAAGTGCTTGATGAATTCGTAAATAAAGATCGTGAAGAGTTCATCCAAAAGCTTTTAGATGATATTAATGAATTAAATCTTAGGAAGGACAAAATAACAGATAAATATACAAAAACAGTTGCAATAATTAAAGCAGAGGATACAAAAATCAATGATTTGAACAAAAATCTAAAGATTCAGCAGCAAAATCTTTCTTCAAAGTTCGAACAATTAAAAATAGAACAAAATGAAATCGAAACATCATTAAATACTACATTAAACACAGCAGAAAACAAATGTGAAAGGTATATGAGTTCAATTGATGCAATTTCAAACCAAATAGCTGATATAAAAACACAATTAACTTCAATTCGCCGCTTTTACACAAACAAGAGTAAAGACCATCACAAAATCCTAGAACAATCAAACAGAGATATACAGGAACAAGCAGAAGATGCTGTTTTTAAGAATACTGCTATAAATCCATTTGATCCACAAATTAATTCGAAATCAAATGAAATAAACCAGATTACAAGAGAAAATAACAAACTGAAATTAGTGTTAGAGGGTGTTTACCAACATGTCGCCCCACTTTTGAAAGAATCCGATTCATCAAATACAATTAAAGAAGATTTCTCCAATTTTAAGGAAAAATTGAATAATTTTGTTCATGAACAGCAAGAGTCTATTATTAAAAACCATTTTGCAGAAGCACAAACGAAATTAAAAAATATTAATTTGGATGTAGATGGATTTGCACCTTCTGTTGCAGAACTTTATAGGCAAAAGCTATTGGCAAAAGAGAAGGAATATAATGCAACTATCAGAGCTGCGAGAATGAGGAGAGCTGACTTAAAACAATCTCTCAAAGCAGCTTCTGCACAGTTAGAACAAATGAAACTCAGAAGTGAGCAAGAGAATAACTTAATAAACGAGATGTCAATGAGGAGAAGCAGAATAGAGTCTTCAAAGTCTGCTCTTGACCAGGCATTTTCAAAACTTGGTTTATAATTTTTATAATTTTTGTTTTTGTATATTGTAAATTGTTGTATATTACCAAATATTATGTATGATACCTATTAAATGTGATAAATACCCTTATCTATATCTAGATCTATAAAAAATCCCACATATTTTCTATTCATTGAGGAAACTATATGAAAAAAACCATTTCAAAACATAGTAGCAACAATAAATACTAGGAAAATAAATATATTTCAAGAAAAATAAAATCACAAATTCTAATCAATTTGATCTTTTCACAAAAACCGCTATATAAAGTATGCTGCATACACATCAGAGTATATTATTTGAGTAATATTCATGCATTACGCCTAATAAATATTTTTGGAAATTTTATTCAATAATTCAAAACCAATATTACAATCTCTCGAAACTATGCTGTTGTTTATTTATTTAGATGAAGAGGCTTAAAGTATTGTGGGAAAAATTGAGGCCATAACAAAAATCACAAATTCCCTCTCAATTTTAAATTTTCATAATTGTTCATGAGTAAAAGTCCCGTTCTTAATTTTGAATATATTGCAGCTCATATAAGCAATTACATTAGAGGGGGCAATTTCTTTAATCTTTTTCAAATCGAAGATATTAAAAAAATCATGAAATCTTCAAGTTTAACATCATTTGAGTTCGATAACCTTCTCAAGCAATCAGAATCAATACTTAGTGCATCTGATGTATACAGATGTACTCGAAAGGCAAATGTTTCAATAAAAAATCTTCAAGATGTCATTTTAATTCTAATCCTCATCAAAAAATACATGAAATTGACAGTATTAGATGAAATCATTGTTATTTTAATGCAAACAGAAAAAGAGATATTCAATTCTACTCAGAAAATTCAAAAACTTCAAGCAGAGTTAAATGGAAATGAAATTGAATTACATCAATCTCAATTCAATGATATAAACGATGAAAACTTCAATGAGAAAGAAATTCTATCCAAAATTGCAAAACTTAGGAAATCATATGATTTTGGAAGCGTTTACAATTTATTTAATGACCTCTCATGTCACGGAAAACATAATATGATTTCAAAAGCAATCGATAAAGGTCTTTGGAAAAAGACAGATTCTACAAAACAGGAATGGGAAGATGAAAAGAATATTCTTCATGTTGCAAGCGAAAAAGGAAATCTCAGACTCGTTAAATCTCTCATTCTCTGCGGCTGTGATAAAGAAACAAAGAGTAAATACGAATATACCCCACTCATTTATGCAGCTATTAATGGGCATGTTGAAGTTGTTAAATATCTAATCGCTGTTGGATCTAACAAAGAAACAAAGAGTAAATATGAATATACTCCACTTAATTATGCGGCATATAATGGGCATGTTGAAGTTGTAAAATATCTTATCTCTGTCGGAGCAAATAAAGAAACCAAGAATAATATTGGTAATACTCCACTTATTAGTGCATCATTGAATGGACACATTGAAGTTGCTAAATATCTTATCTCTGCTGGAGCAAATAAAGAGGCCAAGAATAATAATGGAGATACACCACTCATTACAGCATCATTGAATGGACACCTTGATGTTGCTAAATATCTTATCTCTGTTGGAGCAAATAAAGAAGCCAAGAATAATGATGGATATACTCCACTCATTACAGCATCATTGAATGGACACCTTGATGTTGCTAAATATCTTATCTCTGCTGGAGCAAATAAAGAGGCCAAGAATAATAATGGAGATACACCACTCATTACAGCATCATTGAATGGACACCTTGATGTTGCTAAATATCTTATCTCTGCTGGAGCAAATAAAGAAGCCAAGAATAATGATGGATATACTCCACTCATTACAGCATCATCAAAGGGTTATCGTGAGGTTGTTAAATATCTTATCTCTGTCGGATCTAACAAAGAAACAAAGAGTATATATGAATATACTCCACTCATTATTGCATCATTGAATGGACATCTTGAAGTTGTAAAATATCTTATCTCTATTGGAGTAGATAAAGAAGCAAAGAATAATGATGGAGACACTGCACTTATTAGTGCATCATGGAATGGACACATTGAAGTTGTTAAATATCTCATCTCTGTTGGAGCAAATAAAGAGGCCAAGAATAATAATGGAGATACACCACTCATTACAGCATCATTGAATGGACACCTTGATGTTGCTAAATATCTTATCTCTGTTGGAGCAAATAAAGAAGCCAAAAATAATGATGGATATACTCCACTCATTACAGCATCATCAAAGGGTTATCGTGAGGTTGTTAAATATCTTATCTCTGTCGGATCTAACAAAGAAACAAAGAGTATATATGAATATACTCCACTCATTATTGCATCATTGAATGGACATCTTGAAGTTGTAAAATATCTTATCTCTATTGGAGTAGATAAAGAAGCAAAGAATAATGCTGGAGACACTGCACTTATTAGTGCATCATGGAATGGACACATTGAAGTTGTTAAATATCTCATCTCTGTTGGAGCAAATAAAGAGGCCAAGAATAATAATGGAGATACACCACTCATTACAGCATCATTGAATGGACACCTTGATGTTGCTAAATATCTTATCTCTGTTGGAGCAAATAAAGAAGCCAAAAATAATGATGGATATACTCCACTCATTACAGCATCATCAAAGGGTTATCGTGAGGTTGTTAAATATCTTATCTCTGTCGGATCTAACAAAGAAACAAAGAGTATATATGAATATACTCCACTCATTATTGCATCATTGAATGGACATCTTGAAGTTGTAAAATATCTTATCTCTATTGGAGTAGATAAAGAAGCAAAGAATAATGATGGAGACACTGCACTTATTACAGCATCATTGAATGGACACATTGAAGTTGTTAAATATCTCATCTCTGTTGGAGCAAATAAAGAGGCCAAGAATAATAATGGAGATACACCACTCATTACAGCATCATTGAATGGACACCTTGATGTTGCTAAATATCTTATCTCTGTTGGAGCAAATAAAGAAGCAAAGAATAAATTTGGAGATACTCCACTCGTTAGAGCATCATCAAAGGGTCATCTTTAAGTTATTAAAAATCTTATCTCTGTTGGAGCAAATAAAGAAGCCAAGAATAATGATGAAGATACTCCACTCATTATTGCATCATTGAATGGATACATTGAAGTTGTTAAATATCTCATCTCTGTTGGAGTAGATAAAGAAGCAAGGAATAATTATGGAGACACTGCACTTATTAGTGCATCATGGAAAGGCCATCATGAAGTCGTTGAATATCTTATCTCTTCTGGAGCTGATAAAGAAGCAAAGAATAAATTTGGAGATACTCCACTCGTTAGAGCATCATCAAAGGGTTATCTTAGTTAGTAAACATATCAAGGGTACGGCGGCACTGCGCGCCTCCTTACCCATGATATGTGAATTTGACACTTTACAAAACCGTTAACGTATATTTTACAACACAAACGACAACACTAACTTAACCTTAAATATTTACAAAGCCACCAACCTCTTCACCCACTAACGAACTCACTAATGAAAAAATAAACGTTCTCATAAATTTTCCTCAATATCTTCATCATCAGTGTTAACCCTATTGTAGTCATACTTGAAGTCATAAACTTTCTCTAACTTCTTAACGTACAATTTACATAACTTACCTTCGTCATCGTATGGTTTAATGATATAACTATTTCTATCTTTATACACAGTCAATGAAAAGTCAACTGGTCTCGGATGTATTTGAAAGAACATGTTATGCTCAGGAAGGAAGAATAAATGTTTAAATGTATGTTTGTTATACTGTGGAATTCGAATGAGTTGCCTTTGTTCTGTCATTTACATCCAAATAAAAATTTTCAGTAAAATAAAAAATAAACTTAAAAATTAATGATATCACCACTCCCACACGTATGAAAACATAGCACAAAAATAATGTTTAGGTGAAGTGGTGAAATCTCACCTCTTTTTTCACCCGGTTTTTCACCCACACTAACGTTTTCACTAACGAACTCACTAATGAAAAATAAACGTTGTCAGAGGTGAAAAAATAATGTTTAGGTGAAGTGGTGAAATCTCACCTCTTTTTTCACCCACTTGAATTCATTACTTTATAACTCTCTTCCTTTCTCCAACTCTTCTAACTTCTTCCTAAGTTTAGCAATGTTGTCCTCATGAAGTTTAATCTTTCTCAAAATTCCTTCTTTATCTAATGGTTGCTTTATCTTTCTAAACTGAACTCTACCATCCTTCATAGTATGAATGTAAAAACCTTCTGGAATAGTTCCTGATTTAATGTATTCTACCAAGAACTTTTGTTTCATTGCTTCAGTGACTTTAGTCGTCATTTTACTCTAAGGTGAAGCTAGCACAGCGATAATGGATTTCATGACTTTTTAGTATTTCATGCAATCTTAACAGATAGCCTTACAAGTACTTCCAGTGTCCCTAGCTGTCCCTCCTTTTTATATAACTCCATGACATTTATAATCTCGCGAAACTTAACAGGTAGCATAACAGATTAAAATCAGATGAGGTTTTGAACCAAAATTTCTAAGCAACGTTGTCAAGGATTTTGAGGAACTAGGGACAGAGTGTGGCAAAGTCCAAGATTTAATTTATCTTCATCTGTTTCATCAGCTATCTCATCTAATATGCCAATATTTTATTCATAACTCGTGGCAAACTCACTAACTTTCATTATGTTCATCTGCATGCTTCATCTGATAGAAAGTATGACTTTCATTATTTCCAGAACTTAATGAAAACTACTAGGGACAGAGACCATGGCAAAGTTCATGACTTTCATTATTTCCAGAACTTAATGAAAACTACTAGGGACAGAGACCATGGCAAAGTTCATGACTTTCATTATTTCCAGAACTTAATGAAAACTACTAGGGACAGAGACCATGGCAAAGTTCATGATTTAATTTATTCTCTCACTAACAATAAGTACAAACTCCAACACTAACGACAAGTACTAACCTCAGCACAAATGACAAACACTAACAACAAACACAAACTCCAACACTAACGACAAAAATAAATGTCCTCACTTCTTAACAAAGTAATATGTGCTTCTTACACCACCATAGCTCAAACGTTTCTTTTCAAACATCGATTGAAACTTATTTTGAGCCATTGGCTTTAGTCTCTTTTTCTTCAAATACGCCAAGAAATCTTCTTCACATCTTTTCACTTCATAGCCTTCTTTAAACTCCTCCTTGTTAAGTTCTATGAAATCCTTTATCTCATTCTTTGTTGCAATGGCTTCTTCACGAACGACATCATGAACTATTTCACTGTTCTCATGTATGACCTCCTCACTGTTCTCATGAACGACCTCCTTACTGTTCTCATGTATGACCTCCTCACTGTTCTCATGTATGACCTCCTCACTGTTCTCATGAACGACCTCCTTACTGTCTTTCATAAGCGTTTCAAAGTCTCCTTTACTCATTACTTCAATCTCATGCTGTTCACAATAGTACTTAAACTCATTGTATATGTCTTTGTTGTATGCTATATTGCTTCCCATGTACTCCATGAATTTTTCAAGCACTTCCTCATAATTCACTGTTTCTTTCTTTCCACGACCTTCTAATATCATACTTGCTTCGTAAATATAACTTCTTGCAGAACCGTCTCGCTTTCTACTTCTCTTCACAAATTCTCTCATCTTGCCACCAAATACATTTGAACTACATGCAAAGAATTCATTCTCCTTCGCAAATTCTTTATATCTTCTGTAGCACTCTGTACAATTCCATCCGGATACAAACTTTTCATAGAACTCCTCGTAAAACATTTGGTAAGGTGTTTTGTTCATTTCGATGAGTTCTTGTTTAGCCCTGATGAATGGTATCTTCCTTACATCAAATTCACTTAAATCTTTCCTCATGAAGTACGTCAGTAAGTTTGAATAAAACTCTTCATTAAAGCTTTCAATGAGATTTGAGAAATATTCGTAATTTCCTTTGTATCTGCTGCTTACGTCAATGACAACAAATCTTCTGTCGTCTTTGTCAATCTTTACTGAGTTGAAGTTGTTAGATATCATGATGATATTACAAACATTCTCTATCTTTCTTACTGGCTGGCATTTCTGATTTAAGTCCAACTGAGTCTCTGTTACTATTGACTTTAGTGCGTCGTGGTTCATGACCTTAGACGTATCGCATGAGCTTAGTTCATTGCATACGATGAGCTTCATGTTCTCAATAGCAGCATTGAATCTACCAACCACATTCTCTATTGCCGTTATATTATTGTTGGCGTACTTGCTAATGAGCTCGCATAGAACATTACTAAGTACATTCTTACCAGTTCCTTGCTTTCCTATTAACAAAAGTACTGTTCCAGTCTTTCCACAAGGATTTTGAACGATGTAGGCGAACCAGTTCAAAACATACTCATAAAGCTCTTCATCCTCATTCCATATGACATCGTGAACATGTTTCAAATATCCTTTAATAACGTTCTCATCTACTTCATTCAGTACTCATACTCATATCCTCTGAAATAGCTGTAAATGTCATCTCTTTCGTCAAAGAATCTCATGCCTGACCTCATAAGATAGTTCTTGTTCTGACCCGCTTCATAAATCATCAGTGCGTTCACATCCTTCTCCTCAATACGTCCTACATAAATACTCTTCATGAGCTTATTGAATTCCTTGCTATCTACTGACACAAGTGTTGTTGTGTCTCGTATTCCATCATAATCTTTCACTAGATATGTCATACGTGCTCCGTCAATAACAACAACACATCTTCTTAGGTCATTTATAACACTAGCTATGTCAATACCGTCCTCACTCATGTACTTATTTTTCCTCAAGTCCTTTAGTGTGAAAGTGTCTCTAAGTTCTATTTCAAGCAATTCATTTACACATCCTTTGCAATACTTCTCTATAAAATATTTCTGTCGTTCTTTACTAAGTTTCTTAACAGCTCTAAAGAACCATGTGTTTTGACTCAAACATCCTTCACAACTTCTCTCATTCATTCCTAGTTCTTTCATGTCATTATCTTCAACCTCTATGGTCTCATTGACTAAGGTCAAAGGGTTCTTAGTCATTGCTGGTCTTATCTGAAACAATGTTTGTGCAACAGGTTTAACTAGTTCAGCAACGTCCTTCCTTAATATGAATAGCTGTTTCCACTCATCTTTGCTAACAGTTCTTTCATAACCACTGACAGTAATGATTTCATTTGCTGACCTTAGACACTTATGTTCTATCATTTGTATTGCTTTTGTGTAAGGCTTTCGTGAGCATAGGTTGTATATATCATTCCTGCAATGTTCATTTATACCAATAGTACTAAATCCTTTCTTTGCTGTTGAGTGCATAATATCCATTAGTTCCTGTGTTCGTATTGCTGTCTCATAAAATACAACAAGACCTTTGTCATCTATGACGTACTTACCGAAAACATTGCTTATATTCTTTAACCATGAAATAACATCCTCATTCATGCTGTCAAACATGAAGTAAGGTCTTACATACTCTTCACTTATAAGATACTCCACAAAATACTTGTTAAGCTCTATGTCCTCGTGAGCGATTTCATTAGGTTTGATATTAGTTCCTTTTGTCATTGCTGTCATGTACTTCACTCTCATAGTTCCTTTCAATAGCGTAAAAGTACTTCATTGTTTCATAACTGCTCTAAATTCTGTTCAAAATTCGTACAACATAACTTTTAATATTAGTGAAAGAACATGAGCGAAACAACAACATCTAACATTACAGAAGAAGTCAATGACAATGCCGATGAAAACATTACAGAAGGAGCTAGTGAAAATATTGACGAGTTCAGTGAGGAAGAAGATATTGAGGACGTCAATGAGAACGTTAGTGGGGAACAAACTCAATGGGAAACATTGAGAAATCATGAAGAGTATGAGATTTGTACGACATATCCTTTTACTATTCGTCGAAAGAAAGACAAACATATTATGAGTGAATGCTTAAATAATTATGGTTATATTGAGCTTAGTTTAAACAACAAAACACATTTAAAGCATAGAATTATTGCAGAACAGTGGATTGAAAATCCAAA